CTAAGGTATGAGCTCCAATGTGATTACCACAAATGCCCTCATGAATCTCCCTTAAGATGTAGTTCGTTTTGTCCTCTCTTATGCACTTTAAGAGAGGTGAAGATAAGCCTCTCTTGTATAGCTTTCCTTAGATGAGGGTGAATCTAGATGACCTGGTCCTTTGTGTCGCTGTTTCTTTAGAATCTACAAGTAGAGTTTTGTTTTGTAAATAAGCTAGGACTGGATCCATCTAGGTTGACTGTGTATCAACTGGAAGAACCTCTTCCAGTTCAGAGCTCACTAAAGGCTCAACTAGGTGTTCAACTAGGATGAATTCGTCTAGACTTTCTTGTAAGGAAGTGGCCAATATGGCTAGAGCATCTGCTCGAGAATTCTCTACTCGATCTTGACCTAACTGAATTTTTTCAACAATTCTTATACCCTTTTCAGATATAGTGTCATCTATGGCTTCGTATGTCTCCTCTATCTGCCCCACTACTAGCTATGAATCACTGTGTATTATAACATGTTCCACTTTCATAGAATGAGCTAACTTGAGTCCTGCGATATTTGCTTCGTATTCCGCTTCGTTATTTGAAGCCTTAAAATTGAACCTGAGGGCATACTCTAGGTCTATTCTATCTGGTGAGGTCATGTTTAAATCGGCTCCGCTACCTTGTGCATTGGATGCTCAATCGATTGAGAGTTTTCATGTCGGCAGGTCAAAGACGAGGTTGTTTAATTCTTGAGACGCCTCCAATTCTGCAGGTGTGGTGACCTCTGTAATAAAATCGGTTAAAACCTGCCCCCGTAATGGCGATTTTGAGCCTATACTTGATGTCGAATTTGCTAAGCTCGATTGCCCATTTCACTAATCTTCCAGATGACTTCGGCTTGTGCAAGATCTATTTCATTGGCTGATCTGTAGAGATTTTTATCGTATGAGCTTGAAAATAAGGCTTGAGCCTTCTTCTTGTTGTCACTAGGGCTAGAACTAGTTTCTCCATCTTTAGGTACCTTTCCTCTACCCCCCTTAGAGCTCTAATATAATAGTAGACTGACTACTGAGCTCTTTCTTGTTCCCTTACTAGAACTGCGCTTGTGGAGAAATCTGACACAACAAAGTACAAGGTAAGGACTTCCCCTTCTCGAGGGCTAACTAGAATTAGAGGCAAGCCGAGGTATTCCTTAAGAGCTTTGAATGTCTCTTCACATCACTCATCCCAATGAAAGTTGTTTTCAATGTTCTGTGGGTGACTACAAGTCAATCACCGCTTGGACTTTCTTTGGATTGACCTCTATACCTCAACTGTTGACTATGAAGCCTAGCAATTTCCTTGCGGAGACCCCAAAGGCACACTTTGCAAGGTTGAGCTTCATCTTATACTGCTTGAGTATCTGAACCAGCATATCATCAATATAGACCTCCATAGATGATCTGATCTGTCCCTAGAACATACAATTCACCAACCATTGATAGGTTACCCCTACATTTTTTAGCCCGAATGACATGACCTGGTAATAGTATGTCCCATTCTCAGGCACAAATGTTGATTTTTCTTGGTCATTAGGGTCCATCCTGATCTGGTTGTATCTTCAGAAGGCGTCCATAACGCTGAGCAGCTCGTGCCTAACTGTGGCATCTACGATTAGGTCAATCTGTGAGAGTGGAATATTGTCTTCTGGGCAAGCATGGTTTAGGTTGGTGAAATTCAATGTAGAGCCGCCACTTGCCATTGATTTTCTTTACGAGGATCATGTTTACCAACCAGGTTGGGTAATTAACTTATCTGATGGCTTTGGCATGGAGGAGCTTAGAGACCTATTTGTGTATGGTTTTTTGGCACTTAGGGGCGAAACTTCTTCACTTCTGCTTTATGGGTTTGTAGGTCGGGTCAACGTTGAGTTTATGCATTATGATCGTTGGGTCAATAGATGAGATAACCCTACTTAGGTTGTTGATGTTGAGGTGGTGCTTGCTGTTGTGGAGCAGAAGGTGGGTTAGCTCGGTTTTGATTATCTTATGCTACAAAGCGGCACAGTTGACCTGGCTGGACTGAGAAATCAATCTTCTTTTCCAATAGGATACAATCATCGATATGGTGGCATTGGTCTTGGCGGTATTCACATTACTTTGTTGCATCTCGCTTGAGGGGATCCGCCTTCATCCGAGGTGGCCACCTCAAGAATTTCTCATTTTGGACCTCATACAACACTTGTGATACCGTGGTGTTGAGGGGGGGTGAATTTTTGTGGGGCATATTTCGGTTGTAGCTCCTAATGAGGGGGACCCAGGCGGTCTCTGATGTCACTTCTCCTCTTTAGGGAACGATCTCCACCTCTCCATGGGGATCAATCCCAACTTCGATCCTTCTTAGGACTCCGATCCCTTTTCTTTTCCTTCTCTCTCTGAGTAGAGGAGTTCCTAACTTTTGAGAGGAAGGTTTCATCACCATTGATATACTTCTCTATTTTTGCCAACAACTCGGACATATTAGCCTAGGGGTTCTTGGCAATTGAAAACAGTAAATCCTTTGATTGGACCCCTAACTCAAAGAAGAAGGTTGTGAGGGAAAGCTTCTCATCGAGGGCATCCACTTTTAACGACTCCGAGTTGAATTTCTAGACATAGCTCTGCAGTGATTCATTTGAACCTTGTTTTACGCTCAACAGGTGGTAAGAAGGCTTTCGGTAAGTTCGAGCCCCTATGAAGTGAGACACAAATGAGATGAAGACATCTCTAAAAGAGGAAATTGAAGTCGGGGCTAGCCTATTGAACCAAGCCAAGATTGAGCCGTTCAAAGTGATAGCAAAGGCTCGACAGCGCACTAGATAGTGGCATCCATGCAGTTCCATCTGATTCTTATATGTGTTGAGGTGGTCCATGATATCCTTCGTCTCGCCAAATGCTTTGATTTGAGGCATTTTTAATATTTTAGGAAGAGAAAAGTGTAGCACCTTGGGGGTGAATGACAACTTTGTATGCTGAATTAGAGCATCCATGGTCATCGGAGCTTTGCTTTTCATCGCCTCCTTTATGTTAGCTCCTGCTGGATTTCTTTGAAACGTCGCTCCCAGAATTAATCCCTCCCATTTTGTTGGAGAAGATTTGGGATGCGTTTGTTTCTGTGAACTCCTCTAATTTGACTCTGGACCTCATCTCCCTCCCCATTTCTCGGGACTCTGTGATGAATGTTATCAGCCGAGTGATTGAGATCGTTCTCTTTTATAATTTTCTTCAAAGGATTTTGATGATGATGATGCCTTCGTGGGGGATCATCTAGGGTTGGTTGTGCCCCCTCCCCACAAGATTCTAAGCGCGGATGAGATTTACTAGATCCTCATTTTGCTGGAGGAGATGCTCATTGGCTTGACTCAGTGCTTCGAATTCATTATTTAGGGGGGATCTACCATTAGCAAATTGTCTTTTGGGTTTAGCTAAGGATTCAACAGAATTCTCTGTTGTCCCACGATATTGGCTTCTCGNCATTGGCTTGACTCAGTGCTTCGAATTCATTATTTAGGGGGGATCTACCATTAGCAGATTGTCTTTTGGGTTTAGCTAAGGATTCAACAGAATTCTCTGTTGTCCCACGATATTGGCTTCTTGCTAGTTCTGTATCCGTAGTAGATTTCCTTAATTTTTGCTCATGTTGCGCATAGAGACCATCAATTACTGAAAGATCAATAGAATTTTAGCAGAAATCGAAACAATTGTTTCCCACAGATTGCGCCAAACTGATGGTGCATTCTACACGATTGAGTAAAGCTAAATGAATTGGGGATCCATTGATGGAGATTACTAGAGTATCCAGTTAGAGCTTCTTGACTATTAGTGGTTGAACAATTAATTCAAGAATAATAGCCGTGAGTAGAAATTAATAGACAGAGGGTTTATAATGGTTCACCAGCTCGAAAGCTTGGTCAGTTCACTCTAATAGAATCTCTTGCTCCTTAGGAAATTCTCTATTACTCGGGCAAGAAAGTTACGGAATTACAGAGAGTCAATGTATGGACACTTGATTTATTACAATGTCAGAGATTTGATCCCCATTTATAGTATGTTGTGACCTTGCAAAATCATCGCAATCCTTACGTAACTGTCGTGATCCTTGCGTGATCAACGTAATCCCCTTGGGGTTGTTACAACCCATGTGATAGAATGTTTGGCCATTAGAGACAACATTTCATAAGTGTAATGTGACCCTCTTGAAAGTGTGAATTGTCATCATCGCAATACACACGAGGTCAGGTTGGTGACGATTCCCAACCTGTGCCTCTCGAACTGGAAGCCTCAAGCTAGAAGATCTGAACTATGAGGTCCAACCTAGGTCGTCTGATCTGAGGTATCTAAGCTGAGGTGTCTGAGCTGGGATTTCTGATTTGGGATGACTAGTTGGGAAGCTAAGGATTGAGAGGTCAACTTAGTCACCCGACCTTAGCTAGCTCAACTAAAACCCANGAGCTGGGATTTCTGATTTGGGATGACTAGTTGGGAAGCTAAGGATTGAGAGGTCATCTTAGTCACCCGACCTTAGCTAGCTCAACTAGATTTGGACATTATGTTGTGGGCCCTTAGTGGGGGTAAACCCCTAATCTGTAAAATGGGCTGAGCTTAGCCTTAGCTAATTTTTGGTATCATCAGTCTTGCCAAAGCCGTTGTGGAAGAGAGATCTGCGATTAGCTAAAGTGGTTAATGGCACAGCCTCACCTTAAACACAACCTGAGGTTGAACTTCTAAGTCACAAATTTCAAAGATGTGTACCAAAATCAAAATATCAGAAGTATTTGATTCAGCTGATGAAGAAGAGCAATCAAGCATGGTTTACGACATTTAGAGAACGCGCGTCAATAAACAACTAATCCTTGCCATAACGATCAAAAAAACACGAAGCATACACTGATCTCCGGTTCTTCCCATCTTTAATCCCGCCATTTGTAACAGGTGAATATTGACAGAGCAAAGTACATAAGTTTTAAGGATTATATACAAGCTAACTATAACACTGGTAGGTGACCAAAGCAAAGAGAAAACCTACTTGAATATATAAAGCAGACAATCTAGTTCCATTTCAATGTCATGAAAATTCATGGCTACAGCACAGATGGTAATAATAGCTGGAAAATAAAGAATTTGGGTAAAAGGCTACTACAGATATAATCTAAGGTGAGCAACTTACATAAAATAAAATATCAAAACCGCGGGTAAGAATTTACAAAATTTCTCTTTTTATGATTTTCCCCTCCCAGTACCATCTTTGCGCTGATTACGGAAGTGACTGAGTAGCTGTTGTGCCTGCTTTAAAAAAAAAATGTATTATCTCTCTCATCCCATTGCTCTTTATAAGGTTTCAATTTCAAACAATATGATTGGAAGAATATCACAGGCTGGAGAGCTGCTCTCCAGCTTGAGAGCACAACCCATTTACATATGGGGAGCTTTGTTGTCATTTCCAAAAAAGGGGAGGGGTATTAGTAATAGTAAGTCATTTGTTATGTTCTACCCTCTTCGGGTTATATAACAGAAGCGGCCTCCATAATTTTATGGCACACTTTGATAAGTAGATAACTGAAGAAGAGACAAAGCTATATACCTTCTCCTTGGCTCTTGGCGTGCCAAACTGAGATAATGCGACAAGAGGTGGGACAGCTCCTTCTTGCAAAACAAGGCGACAATACTTTGGACTATTAATGCACAGTTGCAAAAGTATAGAGGCAGCATTTTCCTTTCCTCTCTGAGATCCCATCTCAACAATCTCAACAAGAAATGGTATTCCCCCTTCTCGAGCAATCACCAAGCACCCCTCTGGAATAGTAGACAGGTTTGCAAGAAGAGCAGCTGCCTTGTCAACCATTTCTGATCCAGAGTCCATCATCTCAACCAGATACTTCACAGCTCCTGCCTGAACTATACGAGCCTTATTTTCGTGAAAGATTGATAGGTTGAACAAGACAGTAGCTGCATCTTTCTTACCTCTGAGAGTGCCTGACCCTAGAAGATCAACCAGTAGTTTAACTGCACAGGAACGGCCAATCTTTACCTTGTATTCTTGCAAAACAGAAAGGCTGAACAGAGATGCTGCTGCGTTCTCTTTGGCACCTGTATTTCCTGTTCTTAGAACATGTATAAGTGGTTCTAGTGCTCCTGCTTCTGCAATCTTGTTCTTAACCTTTTCATTTATCGAGAGGTTCAGAAGTGCAGTGACAGCATGCTCTTGTGTTAATTTCATATCTGAGTGTAACAGTGAAATCAATGGTGCAATGGCCCCAGCCTGGCCTATGATGACACGATTCTCCATGTTGTGCTTTGCAAGAAAACGTAATTCTGCTGCACCTGCAGCTTGCAATGCATTTGATTGGCTCTTCAAATCTTCAACTAGTTTATCAACATGGGAACTCGTAGTTAAATCACTAGACCCCATTTCAGATGGAAGAGAAAGTGCTCTAAGGTGGCTATGGTTTCCATTGACAGCCATTTCGGCCATTGTTTTGGAGCTGTGATATTGTTTTCCAGACAAGGGAGGGGAACATCCTGAATCTCCATTCAAAGAAGAAGATGGTGCACACCCAAAAGTTATCTTTCCTGATAACTCACTCACATTATCATGCTTACTGGATATCCCAGGGACATCAGTTGATGCAAGGGGAAAATAATCAACGTTGGAAACAGCACTGGATGCTGATTCACTCCTGCTATGAATATATGAGTGTTCAGGGGTCGATTGCTCCAAGTTTTCAGTCTCCCTCATCTGGCAAACACTAAATTCTTCCTCTCTAAATCTAGAAGATCGATCAACCTTCTGCAATTCAGACCCATGTGCACTGTCAAGGGAGGAACTTGATGTAGAATTGCTGCTTTGTAAAGAACAACCGACATTTTCGAGATGAAGGAGATCTTGTGGAGATACACTTTCAGATTGCAAAGCAACTGAGACAATTTTGGTGCACCCCGAGGTGTTGAACAGTTTTATTTTGTTTTCCTCACACCAATTTTCTATAAGAGCTTTCACCGTGTAGTTTGGAATAAGATTTGTGTGTGAGAGCGTCTGACGTGTTCTTGGGCAGATGGTCAATCCATGATCCAGCCATTTTTGGATGGAAGCCCTCTCATAGGTTTGGCCAGAAGCCACAATCACTGGATCCAGCATGAGTCCTAACGACAAAGGGCAGCGAAAGTATGAAGGGATGGGAATGCCATTTATAGACTTAAAACCCTCAAGCTTAATCATGAAATCGCGCATATGGGACATAAGGTCAACAATGTGGTTGTTTTGTACTAATTCTCCTACAGTTTTGTTGTCTTTGACCTTCATATACTCCTTTTCCAAGGCAATACTCTCTTTCAGCAGTTCCTGGTTTGATGTCAAATTAAGCAACTTGATGATCGTTAGTAGATCTTCAGACTCAGGAATCAGCCCTTCTCTTTGACTTTTCAGAACCTCTCCCAAGCGTTCTGATATAATATCCAGCTTCAAACTGTGAAATTCGTGAATACAGTGCTGAAACAGATTACCATAAATCAGTAGTGCTCTTGTTTCTTGGCATACTGCACCAGGCAACTAAAATAGTACTGGCTGCATAAGAGAAGCTGCATACCAGACTTCAAATAATAGATGAATACAACACAGGAGAACCGAAAGCAAAAAGGAGAAAAGATACACATCAAATAAAGGAGCTCATCATAAAGAATCCTTTGGAACAGAAATAAGTAGCAGCAATAAAAATCAATAGAAGCATGAAATAGACTCCAAACACATGCATACCTGAATATCAGCTAAACTTGAGTTTGATGATGATGACTTCAATAATGTACATACAATATTGCAAATCTTAAGCAAGGAGCTTTGGATTTTTAGCATCAGGGGCTTACTTTGCAGAACCTGGGAATATCAAATGACAAAAAAATAAAAAATGCAAAACATTCAAATTGGTTGATAGAAATTGAACACATACTTCAAGGCCCCATGCTCTGCTAACAGCCTTTTTCTACTTTTTCGTTTCTTTGTTATGTAATATTCCCATTGATACCAACATCAATAACGAAATGAATACTGGGGATCTCACAACATAATAAGCCCATAATAGCTTTGTACAGTTTGAAGTGTAATTTTTGCTCCAGAGAAGTTAAGTATTGAAAGGGAGGCTAATAAGGCAGTGAAATTTAAAGACGGTGACTCATTTAACGTGGGTTCCAAACAAAGTTTTGCATCACTAGAAGTGATCAAATTGCTGCTAAAAACGTTCTAAGAAAACGGAGTTCACTGCATTCTTAAATAATGAGACTATTGTGAGAGTATGTTGTACGTAAGCACAAGTTATGTGTACTTGTTTCTGTGTTATGCTATTCTTGTTGGCATCACTCTACCTGGTGAATCCAATAAAACAGTTTGAGGACTCACACTGCAAATCTTGCTCATCTTTGGAGACCAGCTCTCCATGAACTCTCTAGCCTCATTAACAACTATATCCAGCTCTTCACACTCTTTACATAATATATCGTCTGAAGGGAATTTCCTTTGTACAACATTATCAAGTACTGGTTTCAAAAGCTTCAACAAACAGGCTATGTTTCTGTAATCCTTCTGAGTAGGCATAGACTTCAATGTGCAGCAAGAGACTAGATGAACGAACCGCGAAATGCTGTTAATAAGGCATCTTACAGATATTGGATCCATTTGACCTGTTTATACAGCAGTCAGAACATTAATATAGCAAAAACACTAACAAATTGGTACAGGCTGCGAGAGAGAGAGAGAGAAAGAGAGAGAGAGAGAGAGTAACAAAAGAAAAAGGAAAAATATATTGGTACAGGCTGGTTATCACGACAATCAGTGGCCTTAAGAATGGCTAGTCTGTGATGACAAAATGGGAGGAGTGTCTGTTGCTTTAGAGCACAACGGCCTTGGTTGCATCTTGACTAAATTTTGAACAGGGCAAAGCATTCTTTAATGGTATAACCTCGTTTGCTTCTGTGTGCATTTTCTTTCCCTGCAGGCATAAATAGAAGTTGAACTTATAGAGTAAAATAAAATTATGGTGTCAACTCTAAATTTTCTACAATAAAGACATACAAAAGCCAATTAAGATAGAATGGACGGACATTTTGCAGTATCAGAACATCTGCATGACGACATAATCAGGAATCAGCCAGGGTTCCCTTTTATTTCAAATCTCTTTAAAAATAGAAATACTGGCCTAAAACATTTTTTATCAAGAAAATCACCTTAGTGTTCGTTGTATCTTCGCATTTTCTGATCCTACCATTGGTGGAGGCATGGAAAGCAAAATGAAGATGGATAGAAGACCCACATATTCAAGAGAAGCATATAGCAATCTCAGAAAGAATGAGGAAAGGAGGAAGTGGGTGACCCAGGGTCTCCATGGAAGAGCCAGTCCAAGGGCATCAAATGGAAGTGGAGACTGATGAAGCAAATTAACCGAAAAACATGACACATGATAATATTAATAGCCACAGACATGTCAAGATCTGCAGCAAGTCCACAAAGCTCTCCGCATATAGCCAGCAGGCACCAGTCAATGGTGTCAGCATATGGCCACTCATTGCTGAGAAGTAGTTCCCCTAAAAATAAATGGAACCTCCCCCTTGGAGAAGGGTGGGGCATCACATGGAACACCCATCAAGATGGGGGTCATAGCAGCCTTAGAAAGCTTCTACTCCAATTCCATCCTCAAAGCAAGACACTCAAGTCATCTCATAAGAAGGCAGAAGAGTTACTATGGCACACTATCCACAAGCTTTATGTTTATACAAGGTACCCTNCCAATTCCATCCTCAAAGCAAGACACTCAAGTCATCTCATAAGAGGCAGAAGAGTTACTATGGCACACTATCCACAAGCTTTATGTTTATACAAGTCAACCCAGCTCCAAATTCAAATAGTCATCGGGAATGAGCCGTAAAACTATTCTTATTCTTGTGGCATAACAGGTATAACTTTTCTGCATTCATTTTTTGTCGCTAAGTACAAAATTGAAATACAGGAAAAATATCCAATTCTTCTACATCACCAAATGACCTACAAGCTATAGCCTGTATAATGTATACAATTAAACATATGCCTCTTTTTCTTCTTTTGTGATTTTGCTCCTTTTTGTCAATTTATGCAATCAGTGGATGCAAAGAAACCATTCAAGACACATAATAATTAATAAGTGAGAATACACAATATATCATGGAGCCACTAATAACAATATTTATGAATCAGACTCATCTCTGCTTAGATCTGAGGTCTCAACATTTATGACAATAACAAAATTCAACTGATTTTAAAAATCTGCAACGACTTAAGTAATATGTGCAAGTTGGAATGATTGTGAGATGAAAAGATCAACAAGAATAGCAAAATAAGACCTTTTTGATTATATTTGTGATGACTCTTTCAAGACCCTAACTTGGGGGGGTTGATTTTGTATTATGTGGAGAGGAACCCAAATCACATCACCACTTGTTCTTGAACGCTCCTATTCACACAGAATCTGGACTGAGGTCATGCTACAAAGTGGTTGTCAACGGCAACCCAAACATTGGTTTGAATTTATTATATGGGCGGCACAGCAATGGAAAGGGAAAAACTTGATGTCAGTCCTGATGAAGTTGAGCTTATCAGCTACAATCTACAGTTTATGGAGGGAGAGGAATGGCAGGCTCCATGGCAACCACTTCAAGGATTTCAATCTCTCCCCTAAACAATCAAGCAAACTGTAATGAACAGAATCATGACCTTAAAGTTTAAGAATTAAAAGAAGAACCAATTGCTGCTACTTAGGCTTAATTTTGTAATTTGGGCATTTTGTTAATGTCAGAGCTTAATTTTTCGGACTTTCGCACACGAATCTGCCGTGGTACCCAAAACAGGGCACCAACAAGAAAATCATCACACTTAAACAGTCAGGTGTTGCTTTTTTGGTAGTTTTTGAAAACTCTATAGAGAATGTACCACTTAGTGCGCTGCTTGTACATGGATTAACTTAAATCAATGAAGTTCCTTTACCTCCCCAAATGACACTCTTTCAAGAACAATTGTTGTATCTTGTAACTAGTTATATGAACAAGGATGAAGAGAAAGGGAGAAAAGAAACTTCTACTAATATATGAGAACCAATGCTTTTTTGAGTGACAATCTTTTCCATGGGGTAAATTCATTTATGTACACATACACAATTTCTTACGTTCAATCCCAAACAAATTCTTGACTATTTCCTCAGCCAAAAAATTATGCAAATCAACCCAATTGGGAAAATAATCTCACTACAAATGTTCTCAGGATGACTAAACTACTTTGTTGAACGACATCATGAAATTCAATAATACTCAGAAAACATTCAAAACAGGATAGAAGGAAAAACCAACAATATTATCTACAACCCATGCAAGTATTACACAAGAATCACAAGAAAACCATAAAATTCATGAAAGATTTAGCCTTTAATAGGTAACCCAGAAAGTAGAATTGAAACGTACCCACAACCAGATCCTGATGAATCCAAACAAAGAAAAAAAAAAACTTTTAACAAGAAAACTCTACCAATATGATCATTCTTCTAGACTAAGTACAACCCTTTTCTTGAACATGCCAACCATCTTTGCTGGGCTTCATCGAGAGCGAGAGAGAGTGGCAAGAAGCCAAGAACCATGAATAAAGATTGGGAAACAAAGAAAGAGAGGAGTTAAATTGGTGGGACCCTGTATAGTTGCAGAATTGTTGGTGTTGAGGTGGCTTTTATCTAATTTAATGGTGGAGTGATGGAATTAATAGAAGCAAGAGGAGAGAGAATTTAATGGAGTATTGAAAACGATGATTAGATGGAACAAAAAGTAAGCAACTTTTTTTAATGAACTGATAAAAGGGAATGATGTGATATCCAACAACAGAGAGGGTTGCAGAGAAGTAGAACGGTAGGTTTCCAGATGTAATATTATGCTGAAGAGTGAAAAAAGCATTTTTTGGTAAAAATTTTAGTATGCTTAGTATTTTTCTTTGTTCCGCGACTAAAACAAACACCTCAAATTGACAAATTTAACTTTTAATTACCTAGTACACAATTTATTTAAATTTTTTTAATAATAAAAAAATCACCATATATTAAAAAATAGCATATCTATTTGTAATGAGAGTTTTATGCTTTTTTTTTATTACGATTATGGAAGTTTTAACCAACTTATACACAAGTCGTAATAAATGATTTTATAAAGATATGTATAAAAATATCAAAATTGTTAGAAGAAATATAATATTATTATATAACAATTATATTATATACATTATATCATTTTTTTTAAAAAAAAATTCAGTCACACATCTTTTAATTTATCATATCTTCAAAGATATCTCCTCTATTTTTTTATTCTTCATTAATACCCTCGGTCAGATTAAAATCCTTAACTAGAATACAATGTTACTAAATTACTCATGATATATTTTAGGAAAAACTTAATCCACACCCCTCTATATAGACATATCTTCAATGGGACCTTCTTTATTTTTATAAATTTTTTTACGTATTAAAATTTTGATCGATTAAAATTTAATTTGAGCTGATTAAATTTCAACTCGCATTAAATTTTAATTAACCCAAATTTTGATACATAAAAAATATATAAATTTTAATCCACTCAAATTTTAATATATAAAAAAACATAAATTTTAATCGATTCGAATCGAATTTTAATCAATGTCAACATCCTAGGTTAAGCTCAAGTCGACTCACATTATAATATGTACAAAAAGAAATTTTAATATTCTCAAATTTTAATATGTAAAAAAATAAAATTTAATCAGCTTGAATTAAATTTTAATCAGTTCAAATTTTAATATGTAAAAAAAAAAAATTTAATTAGCTTGAATTTTAAAATGTAAAAAAAAAAATTTTAATCAACTCGAATTTTATGTAAAAAATTTGTTTGAGATTTATGTAAAGGTAATTCTAGTATTTTAAATGTTNTGTAAAAAAAAAAATTTTAATCAGCTCGAATTTTATGTAAAAAATTTGTTTGAGATTTATGTAAGGGTAATTCTAATATTTTAAATGTTTTTTTTTGTTAGAAATGATAATTTAATGGCAGGAGTATTATTGATGTTTTAATATAAATTAAAAAGAATGTCAGTGATGTTTTAGATAATAGAGAGGAACGTGTTTAAAGATATTAAATTAGAAGAAATATAACTGAAAATTTTTTTTTCTCTTTTTTTTTTTATTTTTAAAAATAAAATTCCATGAAATACAGCATAACAAATTCAAATCAACTATCAAATCAATCAACCAAAAAAAAAAAGGGGTGATTATGTGTTTGTGGGGCATTTTTCTCGAAAAGAATTTGTGGGCCCTATGAATTTGTGTAACATTTTCCATTATAGATAGGATCATAGGATACCTGATTTGGGTGCATTTTTAATACAATAAANTTTTAATAATAAAAAAATCACCATATATTAAAAAATAGCATATCTATTTGTAATGAGAGTTTTATGCTTTTTTTTTTATTACGATTATGGAAGTTTTAACCAACTTATACACAAGTCGTAATAAATGATTTTATAAAGATATGTATAAAAATATCAAAATTGGTAGAAGAAATATAATATTATTATTTAACAATTATATTATATACATTATATCATTTTTTTAAAAAAAAATTTCAGTCACACATCTTTTAATTTATCATATCTTCAAAGATATCTCCTCTATTTTTTGATTCTTCATTAATACCCTCGGTCAGATTAAAATCCTTAACTAGAATACAATGTTACTAAATTACTCATGATATATTTTAGGAAAAACTTAATCCACACCCCTCTATATAGACATATCTTCAATGGGACCTTCTTTATTTTTATAAATTTTTTTACGTATTAAAATTTTGATCGATTAAAATTTAATTTGAGCTGATTAAATTTCAACTCGCATTAAATTTTAATTAACCCAAATTTTGATACATAAAAAATATATAAATTTTAATCCACTCAAATTTTAATATATAAAAAAACATAAATTTTAATCGATTCGAATCGAATTTTAATCAATGTCAACATCCTAGGTTAAGCTCAAGTCGACTCACATTATAATATGTACAAAAAGAAATTTTAATATCCTCAAATTTTAATATGTAAAAAAATAAAATTTAATCAGCTTGAATTAAATTTTAATCAGTTCAAATTTTATTATGTAAAAAAAAAAATTTTAATCAGCTTGAATTTTAAAATGTAAAAAAAAAAATTTTAATCAGCTCGAATTTTATGTAAAAAATTTGTTTGAGATTTATGTAAGGGTAATTCTAATATTTTAAATGTTTTTTTTTGTTAGAAATGATAATTTAATGGCAGGAGTATTATTGCTGTTTTAATATAAATTAAAAAAAATGTCAGTGATGTTTTAGATAATAGAGAGGAACGTGTTTAAAGATATTAAATTAGAAGGAATATAACTGAAATTTTTCTTTTCATTTTTTTATTAAGAAAATTTTTTTTTCTCTTTTTTTTTTTATTTTTAAAAATAAAATTCCATGAAATACAGCATAACAAATTCAAATCAACTATCAAATCAATCAACCAAAAAAAAAAAGGGGTGATTATGTGTTTGTGGGGCATTTTTCTCGAAAAGAATTTGTGGGCCCTATGAATTTGTGTAACATTTTCCATTATAGATAGGATCATAGAATGCCTCATTTGGGTGCATTTTTAATACAATAGAACCTAATGCTACCTAATCACATATTTCACTACAGCTGTGTTCCTAATTTTGACAGAGCGGCCCCATTTGAGCTAATTGGTGTACTACGCGTCCTTTGTTAATTTAGAAATAAATAAATTAAAAATTATTTTATATAATTAAATATATAATGCTTACAACAGACTCTTATGTCCTACATTAAACTTCACACATGGCTTACAAAAAGGACTAAAAATAAATAAATTATATTTTAGTAACTTTAATCAAATTAAACCATTTTTTTTAATCTTTAAATCTATTGGAATTCACCCAAAGTTTTTAACAAACCTAACAATGAATCATTTTTTCTCTTCTATATCTGGGTATAGTGTCGACTACATACACAGTGCTCATAGTTGTGATGCAAACGTCGGTCGTGGACAATCGCCTACTACTACAATTGCACCAATTAAACTCGAATTTCATACAACCAAAAGACTTTGAACTAATAATGTGCAAGTTTATGTATTATCCGACTGAATCAACTCGTACCGTAAGAGTGAATGATTCAATTTGGCTAAAACTGACAAACTTTGACAAGAAAAAAAAAATGCAAATCCACAATGTGATGAATTGGCATTCCACTACCCAAACTCTTGTCACAGCCACTTGTTTTGAAGCCAGGACAACCACCATTTCATCAAGGATCCCATTTATCAGACACTGTCCATCGAAGGGCTGTTTCCAACTAAAGAAAACCCAAAACAAGGCTAATCATTCTTTCAGATGATCACCCGGGTAACTACTCAAGCTGTTGTGGGGCTGCATATCTGCTTTCCCAAAGTCAATGCTGGAAAAGGGCAGTTCTAACAGACACATCAGTAGTTAAGACTCCAGATTGAACAATCTCACACAGCAAGTAACAATCAAGAAAATAATCTGGCATTAAAACACGAGTAAGAAAGAAAGATATGAAATATAAAAATTAACAGCAGAAAATCGGTAGGAAAACATCTAACCCTGTCAAGAGGTCCATTAGTGATCAAGAGAGATTAAGGAAACAAAACTCCATACTCTACAGAAACTCCACCACTACACAAATCTTCCAAAGGATTAGGTCACTGACTTGAATATCACATAAACTCGAGAAAAGTGAAAGTATGACATGCAAACAAAAAAAGGTGCAGGTAAACATGTTCTGAACATGGTAAGTTCATTTTCCATGTTCACGTATCAATGAATCAGATTCAGCCCCCAGTTAGCAACTCCAGGAGCTCACGTTTCTTTAGCTTTGAGAACCCTTTCAGGCCACGAGACTTTGCAAGAGCTCTTAATTCAGCTAACTTCATTCCACTTAAGTCTTTCAATTGAACNACGCTAACTCAGCGTCATTACTGTATAAGTGGATAAGGTGAACGAATAGTTAGTTTTATACATAGCTAGGAAGTGATTAATAAATTAGGTATGCTTCATTTGCCTATTTATTATTGAATAATAATATTACATGATAGTAATTATGTAATGTTACCGTGGTGTTCAGACCGAATCAGGCCACCCAACCAAACCCTATAATCCACCCTCTAGTTGTTGCTTTTAACATTGAATAATATCTTTTTAACTTATAAATTTGATCTAATTTATTGACATAATATTATATTAAGTAATATAATTGTAATAAAAAAATTTAATAATTAAATATATATATATATATACTAGCAATGCACTACATGTGTTGCAAGTGAATAATTGTTATATATAAAAACTTAATAAAAAATATTAGATATATATGTGTCTAAATTTAATAATATTTCAAGTTTACTAATTTTATTTTTTTATCGCTTAAATTGTATTATACAATTATGAAAACATTGTCTGTCCTGATGATTCATTAGTCTAACTATAAGAAAAATAATAAATAATAATAATAATTAAAGTTCTATTTTTAAAAAATTTGGGATTGAAAGTGATTTTTTTAGTGATGTTTGAAAAATTAAATTTTTTTTTGAAATTTATTTGATTATGATTCTACTTATAATTAATTAATTAAAATAAAAATAATTATTAATATCCTAATAATATTGGAATCTTACTATAGTTAAGAATTAGTTAGGTTAATTAGAAAAAAATATACTGCTTACTATAATGATGCGTATATTTTTTAAGGGTAGTATAATTAATTTAAAATTTTTATAGATATTAATATTTATACATAGAGAATAGATAAT